AGAGAATGGCGACTTCGATGGAAGCACAGCGACGAATTCCAGACCAAAGGTTCCAAACATGTGGATCATGAAGCCCGCGGGGAGCAGCCGTGGGCGAGGCATTCAAGTCATCAACGACGTGGGCGCTGTCCACTATGGAGAGCTGACGATCATCCAGCAATACATCAGCGATCCTTATTTACTCGGCGGCTTCAAGTGGGACATGAGAGCCTTGGAACGTGTGAGATATGTTGAGTTTGCACATCCATGTTTCAGAAAAAGAACTTAACACATATGAAAACATCACAGAGCTATAATAATGACTAATATTCAGTATAGTTTTGGAAGCTGATGACTCATCAGATGACAATCACATCACTACACTACCAGCTGGTGAAGCTGGTGATTGTTCTCTTTCCAATTCCGACCCATGGACCCCTGGAATTCAACCCCAAAATCGCTCAGCCAGACCAGTCCCCTGGATTGGAGCGGATGTCGTTGGTCCGGTTCGACGCCGGGCGGAGCAGAACCCGCCCCGTGGACGGCGGACGTCGCGACCGGGTTGGAGAGAAGACGAGTTCGTGGTCCCGGTCAGGAACCTATGTGACCGTGACCTCCTTCAATCCCGTGGAGGCCTTCATCTACAAAGATGGCTTCGCGCGATTCACCACAGTGCCATACAACACCAACGACGAAGAGACTCGGGTCCAACTGGTTGGAATCCTTGTGCTTCACCTTTTGGATCGCTTGGGACCTTCATGGGGAGAAATAGGGAAAGAGGTCATGAACTGAAGAACCACATGGTTTCAGCGAGTGTTTCAGTGTGTCTCCCATATTTTCGATATCTTCAGAAGGAAAGAAGTCCAAACCAAGTCGGCAGCAATGTGAGGATATTGACAACAAGTTCGTGCACTTGACGAACTCGTCGATCCAAAGGCACGAAGTGGGCAGAAGCCCTGAGAAGTCTTCACGGAAAGATCTCAAATCTCTCGCTATATATCACACATCACATGCATCTATATCGAAGATTTGACCAATCCTAATCAATAAGACGTTGAGAAGGGTTTTGTCCCTATGTCTCTTGCATGTTTGAACGGACTGACGGTCCGGGGGGCCTGGCCTTGAGTTGACTGATTCGCTTGCGCACCACTCGAGCCGCACAGGCACAACGAGGATAACTTCATGCAAGATGAAACAAGTGACCTGCTTCGAAGAGAAGACACCCTGGTGGGCGGCACAAAGATTTCCTTTACCATGCTTCAAGAGCGGCTGAAAATGATTGGCATCGAGTGGTCAGTTGTGTGGGCCAAGATGGTGGATGTGATTCTGAAGTCCTTGTGTATGGCAGAGGATCCTGAGCTGGAGTGGTGAGAATGGTGAGAACTAGACACCACAAACGTGATGGTTGGTGTTGCATCTTTGCGGGTAGACTCTTCAGGGCATAGCCTACTGTGGTATGGGGTCTTGACCCACAGACAACTTGTGAATGGTTTACCGGTATAGAATAGAATCGGCCCATTCTCAGGACCAGATTCCCTTTCAAACCAATGCCTTCGAGCTTTTTGGCTACGATCTCATGATGGATTCGAAGATGAAGATGTGGCTGATTGAAGTGAATTCCTCGCCCTCCATGGGGCAAGAGCACCTCTTGGACGAGCATGTGACACCTGGCAGGGAAGACGAGAGATTGTTTCGGGGAAGCCGCATAGTATTAGGGACTCCAGTTGCGTGGTCATCCAGAAACAATGTATGGCAGGGAAGCCAAGGTACTGGTAGGATGAGGTATGGTTTGCCAAATCATTAGAATGTGAAGACCGGTCCCAATCCAGCATGAGATGCTTGCTGCTTGCCTTCCACAGAGGCTGCACCGCCAGTCATGCATGCATGTGTCTACAATTAGAGCAATCAGTGGTGATGCTTCCACACGCCAGCCGCTCCCCGCGGAGCCAAGATCTGTCGACCCATCAGCCCATCCCCTGTCGTGTCGGGCTCGGAAATCCCATCCGGTGCGAGCCTCGTCGTTTCTCGCCATCCGGGCTGGGCGTCAATAGCTCCCGCGCTTAGCGCCGGCGTGTTGGCGGTTAAATCCTGTGAGTCACTTTCTTTTGTTGTCCATGTGATTGCATGTGCATATTCTAAAGCATGCAAGTATACATTTGTTATCATTTGTGTTTGTAAACATCAAGGATCTCCCACCCCTCCGGCTGGCTTTTCTAATACTTCTACACCACACATGTCACATATCTTGTATCTATGTCTTCCTTCCTATTATTATATTGTACGTGACACCATCGATGTTCTTTCGACCTCGACCAGGAAGCAGCCCTTGATCAACGACACCATCGATCTCGTGGAGCCAATGGCCTTCGATCGCAAGGCCCTGTCCGAAGCCTTGCAACGCCGCGCGCGCAAGGCCGGCGCCGGCTCCGGTGGGCGACAACAGTTCCTTGGCGACGTCCAGTTCCGAACGGGTGGGGGGCCATCCAGACGAAAATCTCTTGGTTCCGCAGGACTTGGAAGTGGACTTCTTGCGTTCGGACTCCGCTACTTGCGGCTAGGACCTAGGACACTGTTGTGCCGTAGAAGGCTTGGAAGACTTCCAAGTTGTTTGTTGCCAACATGTGCCAACGGCGGTTTCAAACCGAGGGCCTGGCAGACCCAGCGAAGTGATGTGAGCTGTTTTTTGTTGCCTTGTCTATTGATATTTGCAATGTCCAAATGCTTGATGTCCACAGATGCTTGAGATGTTGTGAGGGCCAATGTAGGGAAACGTTCCAGTTTCATGGATTCTTGTGATAATAGTCAGTCATTTGGTCAGCACTCCTGGCCACATCCCCGGCAGAGTCGGCAGAGCCAGAAATCCTGAACTCTTCGGTCGAAACGGTTGCCTGCTACGAATGACTGCTCAATTACCTCACACGGGACTCCGTTCTACACCTTGGAAGAGTAACATGGAACTTGAAAACCACGGGGTTCTATATAAAGGAAATCCGTTTGCCAAGGTCAATTTTCAGATTCCATGTTGAGTTCTTGGGTCCATCTCGTGCGCATCTCCGCGGAACCTCTGTAAGTGGGCCTTGGGTGGGGATGTGAGACAGCTTGGCCTGAGGTTAGATGTGGATCTTCACGCAATCTTGACTCTTGGGCGTTTTAAAACACGTGCGGTGCCCCATGCACCCTGTTGCAGAAGAAAAGAGACGGATCCCAAAAAATCCACCGGGGTCTTCACAGGCGAATAGCCTTCGTATACATGTTCATTCAGCACGGCTCGCCGGTCTCGCGAGTCCTGCCGCCCATTCCGTGGCTTTCCGTGGCATGTTCACGGTCCATGACCCAGACACTCCATGTGTGCCATAATATGCCGACCAGTTGGGATGGTTTGGAGGGCCAATGGGGCGGCAGATGTTCCAGTCCCATGGATTGTTTGGGCGTGAGCCAGGTTGCCAGGCACTGCCAAGTGTATGACACCCCTCATGTTGATTGCTTCCCTCAAGGCAGACGGAGGGCCCGCTCTCAATGCACTGAGGAAAGGCCGCCCCATGCGGAAGTATGGCGAGATGCCGGAGAGGGCGCTGAAATCATGGAACTGGTCGTTATATTTGGCTCCGATGCCAGGGCTCCGATATGTCATCCCCGGTGAATGAGTGTCTATAAAATGGGGAGGGTTGACAACCCATTTTATAGAGGATAATTTTCTATAGAATGCCTGGCAACCCCCCTGCCATTGTTCACCGGATATGTAATTCTAGTCCAAAATCCGAAGCTTGAAGAACTTGTTCAGGCTACACTGCACAAGCTTTCACAGAGGAAAACTGCTCAAGAACATTGTGGGTCATTTTTGCCCTTTATACATTTTAAAGTACGTCTTCATTATATATACCACTCGTTATTTTTTTATGTCTATGTTTGACAATCAAGCGCATCACAGGAGAAGATGGGGAACTACGAGCGCATCGCGCCGGGCGACGCCTGGGACCATTTGGTGAAGTCCAGAAGTTTGCTCTTCAATCGCGTCTCCTAAGGCCGACGGTCTCGGGCGCCTTCTTTTTCGTTGCACTGAGAGAGGTGAGAGAGGGAGTGGAAGGCGAGAAGACATCAAGTTGGGTGGAACCTTACGAAACCAGCGCAGGAGAACAGAGTTGGTGAAGATTGTTGGGATTTTTCATGAGTTCTCAGATTTGCAGCTTGCTGCAGGTGGATCATGGTGGATCTCCACGAGGCCAACAACCTGCGGCCTAACCCTAACCGCACACCAGTTGCGGCCCAGTTGTGGTCTCACCAGTACCGATCCAAAGTGGTCTCGATTGTCACCATGTGTCACCCAAAAGGGGGGCTCCTGCTCCGTCCACCGCCGGAGCGAAGCGGGTGGTTTTGGTCTCCGGACACGGCCGGACGGGGCATTCGAACTCGGCTGTGGGATTTGGGTGGAGGACTGAAGCAAATAAGACTCGGTCTGCCTAGAAACTTCCGGTCTGCATGGCCGCTTGCAGTAGAAACAGTATGAAATAACCTGAAATAAGGCATGGCAAAAGATTAGAGTCGCTGGGACTGGTGGTGGAATGTCCTTGAACCACTGACACAGGAATCCTATATAATTGGATTCGTACTTATTCGCATGGAGTGCTTGGGATATGGGTCATGTATGACATGGTTTAAATCATGCCGTACATATTCCCCACACGTTTTCGGTGTCCTGGACGTATCTAAGACATGTGGATTCTCTGAGCCGGTCATCATTTCAGAGCTTTCGCAGATGCTGTTCAGAGCTTTCGCGCCCTTTCGGGCCATCTTCTCTTCCCTCAAGCCTGAGGGGGTCCAGGGGGTCGCCCCCAGGATGCAGGTCACCATGAAGTTCTCGTCAATGGATGTTGGGATCTATCCTGGAGGTTGTTACCAGAAAGCCAGGGGCCTTTCTTTGGCGCAAAAGCAAAAAGACAAGGATCCTTTCGGCAGTATGTGCCTGGGTTTTGCCTAACGTACTTGGCCTTTGCACGTTTGTCTAAGACAGCGCCTCTTCTTAGGCCCTTTGCCTGCTTTGGAGGGCCCTTTTGAGCCGCTGTCTTTTGTCTTGCTCCTTGTGATGTGCTTCGACCACTTGGAGGTGGAGACTTCGGGGGCGTCGAGATTTGGAGGTCGAAACCATGACCAACCCACCACCGTAAGGACGACAACTCCCTTGGGACTGGCGATCCGCGGAGCACCCCAAGAGAACTGCCAACATTTGACATGTCGGGGGAGCTGCAAAGAGGAAATAGGACATTCATGGACATTCCTTCTGCCAGAAACTGGTTTCTGGGATGGTTTCATTCCGAACTTGTGCGAAGTACGACCGCACTACGATTGAACTGCGGCTGCCAGCAGTTTCAAAGAGACTTCAGACCACATGAGCCCCGACACGGCCCGGCTCAGCAGCCCGCAGCCCTAGGTCCTCTCATGCAGGTTCCTAGAGGTCATGGGAAGTGTCAATGATAATGATCAGCTCCTACTAACCCCCCCTCAGCGCCTGTAGTAAAGTACAAGATGGGTACAAGTGGCCGTGGGAGGAAACAACTCCAGACGAGCTTGACCAATCCATCACAAGGGAACTGAAGGGAAACTGAACGGTTGCAGGTCGTTGAGGGGACGCATTTGCGGCTGATGCGGATGCTCTTCCGCGCATTGCCCAACGGCTCCCGCACATTGGCACCAAAGCATGTGGACTTTATCGAGTAACTTGGCAACTATATATACCCGAAACGAATGTGACTCACTGACGAGAAGAGACCCTCACCATCTCAAGAACAGTGGGTTCCGGCCGCAGGCCGGAATGCAGTGGATCACCAAACGCTGGCCATTCATTTGGCAAGAAAAACAGGATCATTTGTTCTGAGTATCCGGTTTGTAGGTCCAGACGATCCATCCAGCCTTGTTTGCCCCGTTCGTAGCTTTATTGATCCTAGTAGTAAGGCCAGGAGCCCCGTTCGTAGTGCCCTTGCTCCTAGTAGGAATTGCCAGGAGCCCCTAGTAGGGAACATTGTTCCTAGTGCGCAAGGTAGAGATATAAAACGATATGAAGATGTGATGTACCATGATTTATTTGTTGGCCCCTGCGACGGCCTATCGACTTGCCGCTGGCCTTTTAGGCGCGAAGCCTATCGACTGGCGCCAGCGGTGTTAACGGAGCTGATTTCAATGTGCGAGGTCAAAGTCGAGGTCGATGTGTCGATCGGCTCACGGCCCTTCAGCACGGAGGATGGGCGCAGTAGATTGGCAGAAATTGTGCCTAGGCATCAGTCGTGGGAGTCTTGGCTGTCGAGAAGTTGGTCCCACAGGCTTAGCCTGTCAACGAGAAGATTGAACAATATGGTGGAGATTCAGTAGTTTCAGGATGTTCGAGGTGACACAAATCTGCTTGGATGGTTTCCTCCGCAGCACCATGCGCCACATTGTTGGCCTACCTTGATTTTGGTGTTGCCCAAGTGGATTCTAATTGGATCCAGTGGTTGCCCATCCAACAGCATCCAACAGCTCCAAATCTTGAAACAGCCGGCACCCCAAACTGCAGCAGGTGATTTGATTGATGCTTGAAGTCCACTCAGGGTGGCTTCAATACCAAGCACCAAAACCATGCAAGCGGATTCAATCGGTTTATATATGTCGTGTATACCCCTGAGATTTGAAAATTGTAGTGGATGTGGTGGAACTTTGGTCGGCTCTTGGTAGAACTGGAGGACATTTGGGTGAGTTCAACAAACCCCACCAGGTGGTGAATTCCCGCATGTCCCCACTGAATTGTTGCACCGCACGATCCAATGGATGTACGGAGGTCATGTTCCCGTTGTGTTCGACCTGGTCCACCGCATCCACGCCCGCTCTCTGTACTAGCTGCAGGGGTGCGGTTTCTCAGTCCTATTCTCCAGTTCCAATTCAGGTGGAGAATCACTACTTGAAGCGCGTGCCCGGTGAAGAGCCCACGAAGCTGAGTCACACGCTGCGCTTCGTCCGAACGCACCACCTGGCGGATCGCCTGGAGGAAGAGGCGGGCCATGGGACGGTGAAAAGCACCGAGGACGGTTAAGACCCAGCAGCTTCGTTTGGTGCGAAGACCGGATCAACCGGTGAAAGCAGCTGAGAGGTCGAAGCAAAGTCTTCGTCCCCGTGAAGGCCTGGCTCAAGTCCCTTAAGTGGTGGTTAGTGGTTGCTTCTATTTAAAAAATCCTACCCGAATCGCCGAAGACACGAGAAAGATTCTGCCACCTGCAAGTCTTTGCATTGCCAAAACCCACGGCCGCCGTCACCGTCACGGGCGAGACCGTTTCACGGCGGTCGTCTTCCTGCGATATCGCGAGTCGACGTTCCGAGGGTTTCAGACGTTCAGACTTCCCGAGTTGCCCAACAAAACACATATTTCTGAATCAGAAGAGTATATAGGTATATTATATTTCCAGGCGCTGTTCACTGGTCCAAGCATGGGATCAATATGCCAACACCATGTTTACTGGTCCAAATGTGAGGGGTTCGGGGACACCTTTGTCATCCTTTGTCCATTGACATGTGGTTTGTGCATGGAAATCTCTTGAATTCTGTGGACTTCACCTGTGCGAGGTGCTATTCTTGCCGGTGATTGGTGCTCTCAATGATGGTCAGCCGCAGCATGCCTACAACCTGGGTGAAGGTGATCATTTACTGCAATTGCGCATGGTCTCCTTTGCTATCCGCAAAGGCTTTCGCTTGGTCGCAGGGCGTTTGGTCGATCGCTTTGGTTCGAAGGTGCTTTCGGCATTGGATGCAGAGGTGCCTGGCTGGAGTTGTGAATTTGGATGCTTCCAGGAAGAGTGTGAGGCATGTGTTCAAGAAGCCGAAGAGGCTGAAGAGAAGGAGATCCGAGCTGTGAGTGATCGGAAGATCGCAGCTGTGGAGGAGGATGCCAACTCCTTACAACTTCCACCAGAAGTCGCTGAGCAGATTTTCTTCGTCTCCAATAAAAGTGAGCTACAAGAAGTGGAAGACCGTTGCTTGGCAAAGTGATGTGTTTCAACCATGATCATCCATGATCCAGTTTTCAAGCATCTAGATCACTCCGACTCATTACAACCCGTCGTAGGGATGACTCGGTGTGATTGGCTGCATGTTTTCCTCTCAGGAATCGATCGATATCATATAATTTGCATGATGCACATAGAGTATAGAGAGAGGGAGAGAGGGGATCCAAACGCAGCACGTCGTCATGAGTGCAAGGATGCTGTTCAACAAATTTCGGGAGTAGAACTCACCCACAGTTTCGTGCACAGGTGTGATGATTAAGTTGATGTTCTCTCAATTCTCTCATAGAATTGCATGATGTTTCGATCAAATTCCGCAATTCTATGTAGATTTGATTCATGTGATGATTAAGTTGATGTTCTCTCAGGTCCTTTGAGGTCAGGTTCCTGGGGCCATCCTGGGGCAATGCAGGAGTTTCAGGTTCAGCTTATTTCAATTTCAATAGATTTAGGTTTAGATTCTTTCCTGACAAGGCAGGCAAGGTGAGTAACACCTTGCAACTGTCCTTTTATCACTGACTCCAGGTTGTTTGCAAATTATTCAGTGTGCACATGCTTCTACAGCTAAACTTCCTTTTGGTTTCTTGGTTGGATTGGTTCACCTGTCCTGCACTTTGTTGTTTTGCCATTGACTTTTACCCCAGAACAGGTAGGAAAGTAAATCCATGTAAATCCCATCAACGTTTGTCGCACAGTATGCCCGCCTTGGGTGGCATATGTTGTAAGCTTCCTCGTGTTTGCTCCTTCTCTTCCCTGCCGATAGCAGGCGACGTGCATTTTTGCACCTTCCTCCCTTTTGCACTTTTGCAGCCCGTATTTTGGTGCGACCTGCATTAACCTTAGGTTAGGGCAGCTATTCCGTCGGAGTGTCCCTGTGAGACAGCTGTAAGGCAGCTAGACCCTGTAGAGAGAGAGAGAGAGAGTGGAAGAGAGACATTTGCTGCCATCTGGACTTGAATTGGACACCGTTTCCCATTCATTTCGGGAGCACTCTAGAAAAGGTGACAAGATCATTTTTACGGGAGTGTGGGAGGTTTCGACGGACCCTCCACGTCTTCGTCCCCCCAAAAACCCACCGGATCGGTCCTCCCTTTGGTCGCATGTATTTTGATGTATTTATTATGGAGGGTTGATAATTTTCATGATGCTGAGGTTTATCAGAGATGCTTCGTTTGAACAGCGAGGGTGATGCTTTCACCCTACTTGCTCAACCAGGGCATGCCGTAGGCAGGGTGACCACTGCTTGACCACTGCTTGGAGTCCAAAGGCCCCATGTGTGATGGCAACGCATCTGTATTGAACACCCATGGATCCCGGGGCCCGTTGGGCACCCCTTCAGTTGCGTTCGCGTTGCGTCGCGTTGCTTCGCCTGCTCAGTTCCGCCTGCCAGATCGTTCTCGGTCGTGAAACGACCAGGATTAGACGTGGAGTGGCGGCCCTTCCTGGAGAAGCGAAGTGGGATGCAAAAGCATCGACGAAGTACTGCCTCCATGGAGCCCTGTTCCACCCTGCAGTTGGCAGCGGATCGCTATGCCGCTTGGGGTGAGGAAACGGAACGAACTGGAGGAACGGACGTAGACGGTGAGGATGGGGATGATGTGATTCGTTCCATCATGCCTAGAGGTACATATTACTAGTAGCTTCTTGCTACTAGTAGTAAGGCCAGGAGCTACGTTCGTAGCGTCCTTGCTCCGGTCGTAGCGATGCCTTTTGTTACTAGTAACTTACTAGTAGCTTAGTGTTACTATCTAGTGTCTTATGTAAGTTGGGATTTGTGTCGAAAGGGAGACGCTTCGTGAGTCATGTTTTGCTACTGTAGTCCTTTGGGTATGTCGGTGCGTTTCAGCAAAGTCGAAGTAACCCTGTCTGTGTCCGCACAGGGTATGTGTGCCCCCAAAGGTTGTGTGTACTCAATCAACCCAGCTTCTTTGTTCAGGCGACCATGTTTTGTTCAGTGCTGCGCCGTTGGGATTTTGCAGAATGCTAGATGGTGTACTTGTCCGTGCTTAACTTCACGATGTTGCTTTGCAGCTTTTGCTATCCTTCTTAAACATGCGTCATGTACTTTCCCTGGTCTGCATTAAGCACTGACTGTCCCTGGTCATGAATTTGCCCTTTTTTGGATCTATGCGGATCTGCGCTCAGATGCATTCACTTGAGATTTGACTTGCCTTCGCACAACTAGAAGAGTCTTGCACGTTTGTAGTTTATGCAATAGTACTTTTCTTTACCCTCGCACTCGCCTCCCATCAAGGTGATTGTTTTCGATCTTTTGTCACTGGCGCCAGCTGGCACTCCGTGCGCCAAGCAGTTGTCCAACCTGTTGACCAACGTCTTTAGCCATGCGGGGATCACTGGCTGAACTGGAGGATGGAACCGCCAGAGGGCCCTCCCTCAGAGGGCAAGCCCGTGATATGGACTGTTTCATTTTGGTGTCTCCAAGCCATGGGAGGTTGAGATTGGAGAAGGGATTAACGTAGATTATTGATGCCATGCAGCCCATTGATGCATGTTTTGGAGGATTCTGGACTCAAATGCATTTGGAAAGTCCGGGTCAGATCCGTTAAGGGAGCAATAGGTCCTTTGGAAAGATACATTAGAGGGTGGTCCAAAGCACGGTTGTTGATCAAAGGGCCTCATTGCCCACATTGTTGAGTTTCGGATTGTTACAGTTCTGCAAGTTCAGCTTCACATCTTGACATTCTTCAGTTTGTCCATGATCGTAACTATGGTGTTGCTATCTCGCTGAGCTCCATGAGGGTGATGCCTTTTCAATAGGGTGGCAGGTATAGTGCGAGGTGTTGTGTATAGTTTATTTTGTTAATTGTTCTGTTCAAGGGTTCGAGCTATGCTGGTATCTGGAATGCTTTGATCGTTTCGTTGTCCTTCCTTCCCTCCCTCCCTTTCCCTCGCTGCTTCCTTGCTTCCCTGCTTATTCTTCTTTATGACTTTGCTTCTGTGTGGCTTGCTTGCTGGCTTGCGTGGAGTTGGGTTGCTTGCAGTGACTTTGTTTTTAGTTGGTTGCTTCTTGGCCTTTTTTAGAAGGTCGAGGGCACTCCCCCGCAAAGGCAAGCTTATCAAGAACTGATCCAGCAACCTTAGCAAACCATCGGTTCTTCTTCCTTCCTTGCTTCCTTCTTTGATTCCAGCTAAATGGAGAAAGAACAAAAGCAAGAGCATCTCTGCAAGAAAACAATGAACAACCACCTCAACGCTGCCTTTCAATAGTGTAGCTGCCCAGACTAGACCACAAGACCTGAGGTCAAGAAGAGCGTCATGCAGCCCAAACAATCCACGGTTTAATTCACCTATTCACCTGTAGGGGAACGGGCTTCCCAAAGGCTCGGTTTGACAATCTGAGCACTGAGGATTCTGAAGCTCGGATTCGGGCTGCCGCAACCTAGCTTCAAGCCTGTGGCTCAAAGAAGAAGCCCAAAAGCGTTTGGCCGAGCTAGTCTGATTCTTTGTGGTGGGCTGAGAGGAAAATCTCCTCACCGCTTTTGATCAAATAAGGGCCCCGTTCCCGAGAATTGGCCGAGTATAGGGGAGGATTCTAGACCGTCTAGACAGGATTCCAGGTCTTTTTATGTCTTTTGTTTGCACTCATGGTTGCAGTAGATTGGTGTAGGGGCTTTGCAGATTTTATGCATTTTTACATGTTAAAAATGTAGGAGAATTCGCACAACACTTCCCTTTTTCAACGTGTAATTGACATCTATCCTGGGGAGAAGCTTCTGTCCCACGCTGTCTTGCAATCAATGAACCCCGCCTTGGCTTCCCAAGAATCTCAACCAAGAACTTCACAGAAGTAAGGCCTTGGCACCCTGCTGGGATGTGTCATGTCTTAGCTCAAGTTAGACCTTTGGAATTCCCATGATTTCCCCTTGATTCAATATGGGTCTGATGAATGCGCAACCCTATATTGTTGGATACCCCATCTTGGTCCAGGTTTATTGGGGGAAGGGGTTTGACCCTTCTCCGAGCCCCTACCACGTTCTCCCCCAGGCATGATCTTCAACGCTTGGCTGCGTCCTACCCGCACTTGGAGTGCTTCAGATGTCTTAAGGGCGCTGTCGATGTTCAAGAGGCCTTCATGACACTACGACGCGAGAAAGGACAAGCCACAGGTGGCCGAGCGATGAGTTTCAAGATGTGTCGTTCGGTGTCTTTTTTCCTGGCTGAAGCACCAATCATTGTGACTTACGCTGAGTAGTTGAACTGGATGCATGTGGCAAATAAACGCTTCATTTTTAGGGAGCCCCTGTAATATAGGCCCAAGTGTAAAAGACCAGCTTAAACTCTCTGAAAAAAACATCATTTAGAAGTACCACATAGTACTGAGATGAACCACTGAAAGACCCCGACTGAGCCACAAAACTTCAGAATCCCTCACTTCGCATAGTGTCCACCAGGCCTGTCAGCCCTGTGCTTGGAGCACTTTGGATCTCCATTGAGCAAACGCCTGTGCCTGGGATAGCCTGGAGGGTGGGAGCACTTGGAGACACCACAGGGCACGTATCAATCGCCAATATACTATACATCAATATACAGTTCAGATATCATATATATATGTATTTGCATGTAATTACTTATATTATCTCTCACTCTATATGTGTATATATATATACACAATATTCGATATGCTCATATATGTGCCCGTGCACCGGTGAGTTGATGGCACAAAGCCAAAGATCTGTGGTGACATGGACCATTTTGTGAGGCATTTTCTTCGGGTTTTCCACTGCTTCCTGACGTGCTGAAGCCAAAAAGAACAGGCAAACCAGTGATTGGGGAGCTCGACCTTTGTCAAGAGACCAATTGCTCTATGCTGCGCTGGATGCCTTTTGCTTGCTGGGCCTCGCCCGAAAGCTTCCGGCTGAAGTGCTTCAAGTGCAGAAACTACAGGTGGGTGTGGCGATGGTTGATGTGGGCAACAAAACAAGAGAACACGATCATGGAAAGTATTGATGGCAAGACCGCATACATCACCACATTTGACTGGTGGAACTGAGGGTACTTGCAACACTTTGTCAGTATTACAGAACGCTTTGGTACAACCTAGCATAGCTTGCTCATCGGGAAACAGAAAAGGCATTGCAAAATGCACCTAAGAGTCATGGAATTCAATTCGGATGAAAGCCAGGTTGGGTCAGTTGGAGGAAAGCTTCAAGTGACTCAAGTGACGAGCACGGCTGATGCGAAGGCAGATGGAGAGGTGGTTCGGCAAAATGATACCTTTGTTCCAAGCAAAAGACGCATCACCTCACACATGCAACTAAGTGCTGCGTAGTTTGATGTGAAGAAACGTATGATGCTAGTATTGCCAAGAGGCTGGGTGGCATCACAAGCACTGCCAAAGTTGTTTGAATGCATTCTAGCTAGTTGCGGTTGTTAGTTTCGGGGAAGGAGTTGCTTTTGTGGCACTTGGCACGCCGGGCGCCCGACTTGTTATATGATTTTGCAAAGCACTACGAAAACACACCAATCAAAGGAGTAGGCACTTGCCTAGGCACCAAGGGCAACTAGTTGTTTTAGAAAGCTGAGATCAGAGAACTTCCCCCTACAGTGTTAACATGAGGTAAAACCCCGGCAAGCAGTTTGGGCTAAGATGGAACAAACACAAATAACAACGACTGCTTAACTTCCTTGTGCATTTAATGACCTGAGCTCCCACCTCTGGAGATGAATCTTTGCAATGCCACCTTGCATGCCCTTCTTCTGAGGAGCTGGCTCAACTGGATGCAGACATTAGCTGCAAGGGTGCAGAGATCCGTAACATGAAGGCAGCAAAGGTGACTCGGGTTTCCAAGGCTGAACTGTTGTTTGCTATGTTGTTTCTTGGATTGCTGATGAGGTGCAATCTCTCCGGAAAATCGCATACACGGCTGTGGTGTGTCTGTACAGATCCCTGACATGCAAGACTCGAACTTTCCATCGGACAATCCTTTCGGCGTTAATAATTGTGGTGGAATTTGTTTAAAGAGCTCTGAGGTGGCCAAAGCAGAGTGGCAGGCCGAGGTGCAGGTCCTCTTGCAGCTCAAAGCCCAATACCGAGAATTGGACACTGGGCTATTAAATCACCTACTGGCCATGAAACGCGGGCCGGGGTGAGGTAGGAATGAACATGTCGGATGATCACATCCCTTGACATATGCTTTGGTTTGTTTCTGTAAGGCTTTGTCGCTTCATTTGGTGTTAAAGTTTACTTTGCGCGGAGATGCTTGCTTGCGGTGTGCTTGCGGTCATCACGAGCGAATACAGAAGGTTTGCATAGTTTCAACATCCGCCATGTCATTCCAACCCTTGGCTTGGCCCTTTGCTTCTCAGGCTGGCGTTGATTGGGTGCCGATCAAAGAACCTGTCCCCGCATGAACTTTGCTCCCCTGCACCATGCCGCCGCAGAACCACCAGTGGACGCCAAGGAGGTCTGCGAAGGTCTGTCCCCGGATGGTCCACACGGTCCAACACGGTCCGGTCTGCGAAGGTCTGCGAACGAAGCTCGCGCCGCCGGAGAAAAGTGGAGACCGGTGGAAGTGAACTTTGCTTGAGCCAGTCACATGATTGGGCCATTGGATGCAGAGCATGGCATGGTCAATGTATTCAATTCGATTGCATTAAGTTATCAACTATTTGGCGTGATTCGCTTCCCTGCTGCCAGATCTGATCGAAGCAGACATGTTTGCTGCTTCACTTCATTTTCTTGAATTGCGGAATGTTTCAATCTGGAAGCTTTTCATGCTGGAGCACTGAGAGTCATGATGTCATGCAGATGTGACGACAAAATTTGAAAAATAGAACCACCTGACAACAAACATGTTCAACGAATTGATTTCAATGTTTGCTCGTTCGTAACTAGTCGGAACTTTAAGAGATCAATCTTTGGCTCCGTTCGTCTCCAGACAGGTACGCTCCCAAGAAAATCACATCACATCCATACAAGCTGACAGAAGACCCTTGGTGGACAATCCTGAACCCCCTCCACATCCATTCACATCCCATATATCCTGTTTCATCCTGTTTCCCCAAGATTCCCCGAGCGACCATTGACCAGTGGATCCGCCCGCCATCCCATGTTTCACCCGACCATGGCCGCCCTACGACCCGCGGGTCACGGGTCAAGGGCCGTGCATCCTGCAAGACGACGGGTGTCTCCGTGGGTGGGACACTGCTCCTTTGGCCAGATTCGCTTAGGAATCCGGTGTTAGGATCGTTAGGAATTGTTGAATGGCAGATGGCAAGAATGAAGCCCTTTGCCTGTCCGACTGTGGGTATCAGGAGGTTCCCCTCATTTGAGACATGCTTTGGATAATTGGGCTTCAATTTGTCAGTGGTTGGAAGAGAGCAGCTGGGGTGAGGCCATCCTTCCTATGTTGCAGATGCAGCACTCATCGTGTCATTTCTTCGTCTACGTGCTTCCAAGAGGCCGTCAGCCAGTGCTGTGCGCCAGAAGCTGGCCAAGGGTGTTCTCCAACGTGCTGTTGATGTGCCAGACCCGGTGGCAGAGTTTCAGGCATTGCGAGAGGATCGGGATTTGGGCTCAGACTTGCACACAAGGATCGGCAAGCTTGCACTTCCATGTCGGGGTGCTCACTGGAGGAAGACGGGGTGCCCATGATCCACTCACTTGGGGATCTTAAAAAGACACATTAAGAATTAAGAACAACAATTCCTTTGGAACTGCTATCCTTCATGTGGATGGTTTTGCCACCAGCGCACAGTCGATGGCAGGATCCATTCGCCTCATGGAGTCTATTAGGCGACCAGGAGTTTCTCCAACGAATCTTGATGGTGCTCCTGGTGGCCTTTCTGCCATGTTTCTATTTGTCCATGAAGGCGGATCAAGTTGCCACAAAGAAAAAAGGGAGAGGATCGACCTGGAGGGCTTCCACAAATTGTTTTGTGCTTTTTTGGCGACGAAGTTCGAAGTTCGATTCTAATTAAATTGAATATAATAGAATTATAAGTTTAATTCTTGTTCCTAATAGCTTCAACTTGCTCCCAGTAGTAAGACCAGGAGCCCCTAGTAGTGTCCTTGCTCCGTTCGTAGCGACAGGAGCCCCGAACGTAGCTTCTGTGACGTCTCCTTTTTCGGTGCTATCCTCACTGAGCGCCCTTGGTCCGAGCCGATGTGCCTCAGGTGTATCCTCTTAGCAATGAACTCGGTGAATGGCTGCCGCAAAACCTCTTGGCCGCCTCAGCCTTTGGCTTGAGCTTTGCTGCGTTGATTCTCACTGCGGTGCTTCTACGCATTGGATCTCGCCAAGTGGAAGTAAACCAGCTGCTGCGGCAAGGTAGCATCCTACTTGAGACCAGAGGCGGTGGCTACTTTGTAAAGAAGAAGACTGCGATGAAGATGCGCAAAGATGCTAGGAGATTATCAGAATTGCTGTCACCTACTAAGTAGTTTGCGTGATTTTGTATATATGTGTGTGTGTGTGTTGCAAAGGGTTACTCATGCTTACTCTGACTTTCAATAATTCTTGCACCATACGCTCTCCCTATTGAAGGATAGCCTGATTCACCGCTATGAGACTGCTCCGCGCATCGTAAAACTGCGGCGCTATCTTCTGTCGACATTTCTTTTTGCTGTCGGAGCTGGAGCTGCTGGTGTTGCCTCCGGCGGGGACATGAAAATTGATAAGAATTAAATAGACGTTGCGTATACATCCAAAACCTTTATGTCTGATAATCTAGACGTGTCCGATATTGGGACAAATCAACAAATAGCTTAAAAAAGATATTAAATCATAATATTATTATAATATACTATATCCATATCGCATTAATACATATCTATTCCCGATAATGGAATATGGGATAATGATAAATTGTTGTCTTTAGTATATTGCATTGGAATATATATATAAAAATATAAACATATTTATTGATAATTTTTTGAAATACAAATATATTATTTAATAGAAATCGATATTGTTATTGTTTTAAACGAGGTTTCGGTAATGATTTCGATATTTTTTTTTTAAATTATATATAGATAAGTAATTCCGTAATTTTAAATTTTGATTTTACGGAAAAAAAAATCAATAATAATTTTATTTGATATTATAATCGAAGATATATTTGATATTTGGATTTTTATTTTGGATATTTAATTTAATAATTTAGGCATTTTTGTCGATATTAAATTTATAAATATTTATTTTTATATTTAAAAAATATTATTTAAAAATAATTTATTATTAATATATTTAATGCCGGTTTATTAACATATTTAATATTGGTAAAGATTATAGAGGCTATAATATTTATGATCGTGAATGTAGGAATATCCGCTTTTATGAACGTGGCATGTTTTATTAAATAATAATTATAATGGGATCGATTTTTCGGTTAGAATTTTTCTTTATTATATCGGTGATGATGAAAACCTCGTTCATTTTTGTTTTTATGAAAATATATTTTAGGATCGAATATTTTTTTTTAAATTATTTTCGAGGCTTGATTTAATTGTTAATATTTAGGATATTATTGAAGTCGAAGAATCGGCTGCCAAATCGGTTTTTTTAATATATATTTTATGCCATAATAGATTCTTGATATTAATCGGGATTGAAACGAAACATATTAGCCGGAAGATTTGCTTGTGCATATTGCTTGAGCAATTTCCGAATTCTAATGGATGCATCCCGGTGGTCTCGGGACTTGACGGAAGATTTGATTCACGAGGACAAAGACCCCATTCGATGATGACCTCTATATATTTATATCCCATTTTGGCTTGAGGTCCGTTTTCGATAATATAAAACCTTTATATTCCCGATATTCCGTAAGTCGGCCTTTAGGATGCACCGCAATTTTGATTTCGGGGAATTTGCGCACTGGTGCTTCTTGCTTATTGGATTTAAATCTCAGAGGAGTAGCAATTGATTAGAATCGAATATCTGATGTTCCATGACTCTGGTGGTTACAACTTCATTACCTGCAAATAATATTTTTTGAATTGGAATATGTAATAATCCAAAATTGATTCCATTGGTGCACTGCATTGCGCATACAAGATGGAACGTATGAGTGCAGACGATTAATCTTTTGCAGATCTCATAGAGGTCTGTAGCTCGCATTTCAGCAAGCGGCCATAGACAGAGGAGGAGGACCGATTATCAGGCCACGTTCGGATTGGGTCGAAGATGGGAGCTTAATGATTAAGCTCGCCAAATTGACCTAATGTTAGGAGAACTAATTTAACCAATTGAATTTGGATCGAACCTTTTTTTCTTTGTTTAAGCGGGCCGCGGTTCGATCTTATCCCAGATATTGAAGTAGTTATTTAAAGATTGGCATGGATAGTGCGAGTAGGGTACAATAACCAAACTATTGAGACAATTCATGTTTTCAGCCGTGTTCGAAGAATTTGCGATTCGAATAGCCAAATTGCCCTTAATAAAACAAATTAATGATATATATATATATATATAATCAAATTCCATAGGATCGTTTAAAAATCCCATATATTTGATTTATATATATTATAAAATCAAATTCTTGAAATTTATAAAAATTTATTAATATTAATATCAATAATAATATAAGACCCCCATATATATATTTTTTAAAAAAAATCATTATTAATATAATTTGATATTTATCATTGGATTCGACAATATTCATTATGAATTAAAAATATATAATTTAAAATATATATTTAAAAAATATATAATAATATATATTATAAATTCAAAATTAATCAATTATATAAAATAATTTTATATATTAATAAATCAATTCCGATAAAATTTATTACGATTTAATATAAATTATTATTTCTTTTTAATATTAATATTTTTTTTTAAATTTAATAATATATATTAAATTATAATATATTTAAATCAAATCAAATAATATTCATTACCATAAACAATATATAATCAAAAATTATCAATATTTATTAGAATCGAGAATTAATAAATATATAATTTAACATCTATATTTAAATTCGAAAATAGATATTATATTAATAAATATATATATTTATATCTAAAATATAATAAATAGGCAATTTTAAAAAATCTATTAATCATTTTTCTAATATTTATTTTATTTAATATATATTTTAATAAATAAATAAAATCAAATTATATATATATTAAATTCATATCTATTATAATTTATATAAAATTCTATTCTATTTATTTATAAATATTAATATTTCAATTTTATATTTAATTTCATTTCTTAATTATCTATATAAATATATTATTGTAATATTTATTTTCGTATATAAATATAAATTATATATACATCCAATTATTTAGTATATCATTATTTTATATATTCATTTTTTAGAAAAAAAAACATCCTAATATATATTTTCAATATTATATATAATTAAATTCTTATAATATTATTATATTCATTCTAGATATATTAAAATATATATAAATTTAAGATATTTAATTCTATTTTAATTATCATCGATATAATAATTATAAAGAAAAATAATATAAATATATAATTAATTTCCAAAATGACAATTCCATGGGGGCCCGCTTCCAAATCTTCTTTAAATTCCAAGCACATTCAAACCATGCCAATATTGCTGCTAAACATAAAAAAGAAACAAAAATTAATTCAAAAAATTTAAATATTACATAGACAAATAATCAAGAAATAGACCATCTTCTAACGCGTTGCTAGCGAAAGAATATTCGTCGATTTCTATATCCTATTAGATGCTTATTTGTCCTATTTTCTTCTTCTTCTTATTAGGTATTATTTTTCTTTTTTGTTTATTATTTTAATTTATTTATTCTTTTTCCTATTCTCTGCTTATTAATTATCCTATTATAAAAACATAGATATCAATCTTTAATTCAAAATCAATACATATATTTATATATAAATTATCGATATTTAAGAAAAATTCATCGAATTACAATATATTTTAATCCTAAATCATTTATATCGACCTCTCATAATCAAAATAATCTATATTTATTATCATGGTGAATCGATATATTATTTGATGTCATTATTTCGTTTGTGTATTTCATGGAATGAAACATCGCATTTGGATCTAAGATTGTTTAGGTCAAAACCTCAAGCATCCCCAATAAGTAAATAATCTGACGAACCGGAGATGTAATATGAATCTATGCCGCACGCATTTGGGAAGCTCAATACTTACGAAGCTCTCAAATGCTGTTGATACAGGTCCGGTCCGCAATGTCGCTTTTGGTTTTGCAAACTACGTGTCAACACGGTGATCGTGATGAGTTAGTTGGCTCGGTGAGCCCCTTCATCGTGCTCGGTTTGGTCGGTTTTGACCCTTTTTGACCCAGTCAGGGCTCTTTCAGAGGGCTCCCGAGAGGGGATTGGTCATTGCCAAGCAAACGGTCGCAAAAAGGCCAGTCCAGCTTTGGAAAATACCACCCGATCGGAGTGTTCTGCGTAATTAGAGGTGATATGTAATGACCACCGTTATACATGAACAATGATGAACACATCAAATGAAGCATACATCTTGGATAAATCATGTAGTGTGAACAAAAATGAACAGGTTACGCAAAGAAAACGGACCAGGTGGAGTGCTGACTGTGGTATTTGTTTTATCTATCTTGGTCTTTTGACAGTCCACCCTCTACCCTTTCGACCAAATGCCGCTCACCAGCATTCTTCAGATGTAGATCGGTTGATGGAATGGCTTTACAACTGATCAGTTGACATGCGAAATTCCAACTTCCAAGGGAGTTTTCACTGGATTCTCTCTTCCAGCTCAACCGGCAATCCTTGTCAAACCTAGTATTGCTTTCATCGTGAAGCGAAGACAGGAGGACGGGTTTACCGTGCTCCACAGCTGCTAGGAATGGCCAGCAACCACTAAGCTTGAAAACAAATCATTTGATCTGCCATCACGCACATGTGGAGACTCCAAGTGAAGGCACGATCTCCGACCTGCAAAAGGTTCGCCACTTCGACACAGCAAGCTCCAGCGGTTTGGTTTGGGCCACTAGCATCCTGAACCCGGCAAAGCACATCGACTGGGAGCTGCTTCAGAAAATCCAACGAAACTAAAGATGTTCTTCGGACTGTCCATGCTCTCCGATCCAAAAGGAATCTCCGAATCACTACTCCCGGATCCACCTGTGATGACATGCACATAAAAGCACGACCCAGAATACCAAGCATTCATTCGCTGCAACCTGGAAGAAATCCGTCGCCAGAAACCAATGACATACATCAAAATACCGTGGCTTTCCTTCTCTCAGGTGGGGTAGGATTGTTCGAACTGTAGGTGTGATTGTGGCATTCGATGTTTGACTGCCTGGATTTCCCGGTTAATCGGTTGCTTGCTTGGGTTGGGCTTCATCATGCTCCATCTTGCAGGGGAGATGCTTGCTGAACCAAGTAGTTTGAGAGCCATGCAGCAAACCAGCATGATACCTT